AGGAAGGAAGGAAGGAAGGAAGGAAGGAAGGAAGGAAGGAAGGAAGGAAGGTAGGTAGGTCGGTAGGAAGGAAGATAGGGTTAATTTTCAGGCAAACAGCCCATGCAATTTGCCTGCTTAATGCAGCACTTCCTAGGGGGAGAGAAGAGAGAAAGATGGGGAACAGCCACTTGTTTACTTTTCCAAGTCTTTGTTCTGGGTTAATTAGCCGCCTCCTTTCCAAGTTGGCTAGTGGTGCCCAGTGACAGTTTTAGCTTGCAATGCTCCTGTCAAACTTAGAGTGACCCCTGCTTTGTTTGTTGCCAGGAAAGTACACACACCTGGAGTCACACAGTCTAGTTGGCCCTCCCAGATATAAATGGTTGGGGCCCATAACACTAAAACTAGAAGGGCAGAAAACCCAGATAGAAGAAAACCAATTACAAAGCAGAGAAGGGAAGCAGAGTTGCAAATCGCAAATTGGGAAGACTTCAGGAAATTGTTTAGTTCTAGGCAGGAAAGTAATCTCTGGAAAAAACCAAAAAGTTGTGAAACTGGTTTTTCAAGGTCTCCTTTTTCATGCCATTGTTATCTGCAGGGGCTCCCAACCATGATTGTCCTAATTTATTTGTTCTAAAAAAGATCAAATGCAATGGGGCCCCACCTCCCAAGAAAAATAATGGATCACTAGACTTTAAGAAGCCTGTTAACTTCCTATACAAACACAATCTACCTTTGTTTTACTAATCTGCCCTTGATCAGCAATTTAAATGCTAAATGCTTTGTTGCCCTAAAAAGGGGGGGGGGAGTTTTGTAGTAATAGCAGAGAGGTATAGATCAATCAAGTATGCCCCACTCAGGAAACAGCTAAGCATGGTTGCCTGTAAAATAGCTATTTTTTAATATATATATATACACACACACACATATACACACACAGTATACATGCACATACACAGATGTCTTTGTTGCTTTCTAATAACGCTTCCAAGAGCAGGGCAATGGAGAGATTAATAATGGAACCAATTCATAAAGTTTATTCTAAACAGATTAATTTGCTCCAGCATCCAAAACAGGAGTGCCCCTTCTGTCAGTTCTGTGATAAAGTATCAAGTTATTTACTGCCAATTTAGCAGCCCATTTTTGCCTTTGTCCTTCCTAAGCTGTACTTGTTCAATCTAAGGCATCTATTTATTTAATAAGACCCCCACCCTGAAGAGAAAAAGCACACAAACTTTCCTTGCTACTTGCCTAACTTCATTTCAACAGCAGCTTTAGGTTCCTTAAAATAGGCCATTAAAAAAAAAGAATAAAACAAACAGGATTTCCTTCAAAATAACTCCTGATCATATGTTTCAGATGACCACACAATAAACCAGACTGCGAACTGCACCAATTAAGACTGTAACTAAAAACCCCAAGACTTGGGAAAGAGAACCACTCTAAAAGCCATTAGCATTGCATTTCTCTGAATGCACCATATACCTTTATGTAAATTGATTTCTGATGCATTTAACTCACGGAATGGCCTTTTGTTACCACTTCCAGCAATATGAATCTGCATTTCTTATTTTTATTTAAAACAAACAGATTTCAAATTATATAAACCCCGTGGAGACCTTCTGTAGACAGACACACACAAACCCCACTGATTTGCTCCCCCATCTGCTTTGAAAGGTAAATATTATATATGAGGGAAATGTTACGGGGACAGAAGCGTCCAGTAACCCCATTAAGCTAAAGCTCTTAAGGACAGGCAATACCTTAATGCTGATTAAATCAAAAAGAGGCCAAATCAAGAAGGCTAACCAGAAAGTGACTCCCTGATAACTTAAGGATAGGTTCTCCTCAAGTTTCATTTGGAGTTGGAAGGATGGCAGAAAAAGAGAAGGAAAGCTTTTAAGTTAAATAGGCTTACTCTGGTAATTACACAGCCAACCAATTTAGGTCCCGGAACAGAGGCAATGAAACAAAAAAGAGAGAGAGAGAGAGAGAGCGCGAGCTGGCAGCTAGAGGCAAAACACACCCTCCCTCCTTTTAACAACGTCTCTGGTGATTTTAATGGAGACCGAGGGAGGGACGAACGTAGAGCTTGCAATTTGTAGTACAAAAACGGGGATGCTTAATTCACGGCTTGGTTTTAATTAGGTTGATTCATCAGATTTCCCGTGAACAAAAAGGAGGGAGAGGAAGAAAAAGAGGGAGAACACAGAAAACAGCTCACTTAAGACCCTCCCCAACCTGCCACTGTTTCAAAATAATGTTACTACAAAGAAAGTGGGTGACCGTCCTCCCACCTCCGGGACTCGCAAGCAGATTTAGGCAAAGAGGAAGCGCGCCGCCGGCGGGGGGAGGGGGCCTTTTTCCCCTAAGCGGCCCCGGGGGCCCGCCCCCCCCCCCCCA